GAGAGAACGTGGAGAGACAGCCAGGGGAAAGAGTGGGGCGAGACATCCAGGAGAGAGAGTGAGGAGAGACAGCCAGGAGAGAGAGTGAGGAGAGAGCGCAAGGAGAGACAGCCAGAAGAGAGGAGAGACAGCCAGGAGAGAGAGAGGAGAGACAGCCAGTAGAGGAAGCAAGGAGAGAGAGCGAAGAGAGACAGCCAGAAGAAAGAGTGAGGAGAAAGAGCAAGGAGAGACAGCCAGGAGAATGAGCGCGGAAAAAAAAGCCAGAAGATAGAGGAGAGATAGTCAGGAGAGAGCGAGGAGAGACAGCCAGGAGAGAGAGCGAGGAGAGACAGCCAGGAGAGAGAGCGAAGAGAGACAGCCAGGAGGATGAGCAAGGAGAGAGATTGAGGAGAGACAGCCAAGTGAGAGAGCAAGGAGAGACAGCCAGGAGAGAGAGTGAGGAGAGAGCGCAAGGAGAGACAGCCAGAAGAGAGGAGAGACAGCCAGGAGAGAGAGAGGAGAGACAGCCAGTAGAGGAAGCAAGGAGAGAGAGCGAAGAGAGACAGCCAGAAGAAAGAGTGAGGAGAAAGAGCAAGGAGAGACAGCCAGGAGAATGAGCGCGGAAAAAAAAGCCAGAAGATAGAGGAGAGATAGTCAGGAGAGAGCGAGGAGAGACAGCCAGGAGAGAGAGCGAGGAGAGACAGCCAGGAGAGAGAGCGAAGAGAGACAGCCAGGAGGATGAGCAAGGAGAGAGATTGAGGAGAGACAGCCAAGTGAGAGAGCAAGGAGAGACAGCCAGGAGAGAGAGTGAGGAGAGAGCGCAAGGAGAGACAGCCAGAAGAGAGAGTGAAGAGAGACAGCCAGGAGAGGAAGCAAGGAGAAAGAGAGAAGAGACAGTCAGGAAAGTGAGGGGAGACAGCCAGAGAGAGAGCGAGGAGAGACAGCCAGGATGATGAGTGAGGAGAGACAGCCAGAAGAGCGAGAGGAGAGACAGCCAGGAGATAAATTGAGGAGAGCCAGTCAAGAGAGAGAGAGAGCGAGGAGAGACAGTTAGGAGAGAAAGAGTGTGTCCATCTCCCGTGCCTCCTACATGCACTCAGGTTGGAACACCAGGACGCCTGAAATCATGACATCTTGTGTCCAGGTTTCAGCTGGCCCAAAACATGGACACAGCACATACAGGACTCAAAACCCAGAATGTCCGGGTAAATCCCAGACAGGTGGCAACCCTATCCAGAGTCACCATGTGCTTCCTGGACTGAGATGCCTGCTCAGAGATGACACCGTCATGTAATACTGGTGACTGTACATCAGACTGATAGCATCATCCTAAGCAAAGTAACTGACTAGAGCTCAAAGACTGCTTTGTGATAAAAAGTAAAGCTTATAAAAATAATACCCTATCTGTTGTGACATTTCAGGAATTTGTTCATGCAAATGTCCAAACTTACGGAAAGGTCCACTTTAAAAACCACATTAAAGGCTGAGTAGTTATTATTACTATACAGGATTGATATAGCGCCAACAGTTTGCGCAGCGCTTTACAATATAAGGAAGACATTACAGTCACAATACAACTCAAGACAAGATGGTAAGGAGGGCCCTGCCCGTTAGGGCTTACAATCTAAGAGGGAGGGGCCAGTGATACATGAGGAGGTAGCTGTGTGGAGATGAATTGTTTGAGAACGTGATGGTCGAGCGGTTAGGTTGAGGTGGGATAGACTTCCCTGAAGAGATGAGTCTTAGGGGAATGCCTAAAGGCAGTCAGAGTGGGAGACAGATGGACAGGTTGGGGTAAAGAGTTCCATAGGATGGGAGAGATTCTAGTGAAGTCCTGGAGGCGAGTATGGGAGGAGTTTACAAGGGAGCTGGAAAGCAGGAGGCCCTTTGAAGAGCGGAGGGGATGGTTAGGGTGATACTTTGAGACGAGGTTGGAGATATAGCCGGGGGCAGAGTTGTGGATGGCTTTATAAGTGTTTGTTAATATTTTGAATGTTATCCTCTGGGCTATTGGAAGCCAGTGTAGGGATTGACAGAGGGGGGCAAGGGATGGAAGCCAGTGGAGGGATTGACAGAGGGGGGGAGGAGGATAGAAGCCAGTGCAGGGATTGGCAGAGGGGGGCAGGGGATGGAAGCCAGTGCAGGGATCGGCAGAGGGGGGTTGCAGACACTGAGCAGTTGGTTAGGTCAATGAGTCTAGCAGCTGCATTCATGATAGGCTGAAGGGGGAGGAGCCTGTGTAGAGGTCAGCCAATGAGGAGGGAGTTGCAATAGTCAAGACGAGTGGATGAATAATTTTGCGGTGTCATTGGTGAGAAAGGGGCGTATTTTGGAGATGTTACGAAGGTGAAGGCGGCAGGATTTGGATAGTGATTGGATGTGTAGTAGTTTTAACGCCACAGCTTCACAAGCCCCTGATAGGGCACTACGGCTAAAGCTGGGAAACTATTTCAAATAATTTTTAAAAAATGAATAAAAATAAATGACACTATTTCCCAGCTGGAGGGCGACAAATGATTTTGTTTGTCGGGTGGTTAAAATGTTTATCCTCTATTTATTTATTGATTGATTTTTACAGTGTACAGTTTTAATCTTATTATCATTTAGATAGAAGGTAAACAAATAAACAAGATACAAAACAAAACATTGCACGTTCCTATTATTAATAAATAAAGGATTGCAACAAAGAGAAAATAAAAATTAAGGAATCTGAACTGTTTCACAAACTGTCTGAAGGGGAATTTCTGCAAAAACTTCACAGCAAATCCATTCCTCTTCTTTATAATGGCTTCTCATCTTTTGTTGGTGGGGGGGGGGGGGGAGAAAATTTCCCATTTCTATAACTGAAAGTGAAAGTAGTTTGTATATCTCTGGGATCCCGATGAGGATGCAATGCTTGCCCAGCTTCTGGTCCTTCTTTGTCTTCATCAATCAGGTAATAATCCCAAATTCTGTATTTTTCTCCATTCAGTAGATACCCAGAGGGGACAACGGAGGGGGAAGCACGGGGGAGGGGGATGTGGGAATTGAGGTTTGAGTGATGCTCGTGTTAGGGATGAGAGGGCGTTTCCAGAGTATTCCTCTAGTGTGCAAAAACAATGAGAGAGCATCTTTCCTTCGGATGGATTCACCCGAGCCTCTCGCCTTATCTAAGGATAACGTTGTGTTTGCACAAATAGATGTGCATATATTTCACATCCACACACAGCTGAAAATACTTGTCAATGTGCCACATAACAGTATTATTCTGGCTTAGTGAGCTGAGCCTATGACCCTGAAATAAAGCTAGCTGGCAATCGCCTTGTTTGCAGCACACTGAGGTTAGGTTGCTGCATGTGAGACGTTTGTCTATCAGCATTTATTGTCAAGCTATGGAGCAGCTAAACATTTCCTCTATAGACTACATCCTAAGGCAGGGGTAGCAAACCTCCGGCTTTCCAGCTGTGGTGAAACTACAAATCCCATGATGCATCTCTCTTCAGGAGTCATGTCTGTGTCTGTGAGAATCTTGCAATGCCTCATGGGATTTGTAGTTCCACCACAGCTGGAAGGCCAGAGGTTTGCTACCCCTGTCTTAAAGTGATACTAAAGTAAAAAAAGTTTTTTCAAAAGCTGATGAAATCACTTACAATTAGGGTTGCCAACTTTTCTTCAAGTGAAACCTGAACACTCTGCCGACATATTTTTGGAAGAATGAGTGGTGGCTTATTCATATGTATATAGTGCCACCCATTCATATGTAAATATCACAGTTGAGACTATTTTCAGTGGGGGGGCCAGTGGCCCCTATCTTAATTTTGGTTGCCCCTGTCTGCCTGACATCTTGTGTCCGGGTTTCTGCTGCCATGAAACCCGGACACAACATTTAAAACCCGGACTGTCCGGGTGAATCCTGGACAGGTGGCAACCCTACTTACAATGGATGCTGCTTCTTGATGTTTATAGGTTTTAGTTTCCTGCAGAATCAGCTGGTCCCCTAGGTAATGGCCCTGATATCAGTGGTGTATCCAGGGTTTGGCACATATGGCACATGCCCCGGGTGCCACTTGAAAGGCAAAAGTTCACCAACCCACAGAGACAGCTGACTTTTTTCTCCCCCCCCCCCCCCTTTCTATACACATTTCCCCACTTGGCTCGTAGCAACCAGGGATGCTCTGGCTGGCGTCCTGCCCAGCTCCTGGCAAACAGTGATGTCAGTGGTTGCCAGGAGCTTAGCGCAGAGCAGAGCGTGCCAGGTTGCTAAGAGTCAGACGGGGAGGTGTGTAATGGCCATACACATCTCTCTGCCGGGCTCTTAGCAACCACAGTGGGTGGGGAGATGTGTATGCGGGGGGGATGCTCTGGCCGGTGTTCTGCCCCATTCCTAGCAACCAGTGATGTCAGTAAAGTGTTTGCATAGCTAAATTCTTATTCTTACTTTTGGATAGAGTAAGGAAGGGTTCAATCTCAATTCCTATCTGTCCCATTGGTGAGATTTCCCTTCACTTCTTATCTTAGAGATACATCAGGAAGTGAGAGTAAGGCAAATCTCCATCTTAGACGTTTGTCACCATAATATTTGTCCCCATTGAAAGATTTTTCCTTCACCTCTTGCTCTCATGATTGCGTTACAATGTACGATTTCCCCTCACCTTCTGTCTTGGTGATGATGGTCACCAGGCCACCTAGAGAGGGTGGATCTTCCCAGCAGGGTCACAGAACACAATAAGAATTTGACAGAGAGCCCAACCCAACCCTAATTTATCAAAAACTTAAAAAAACAATTCATATCTGCTTTTCTAATAGCACATTAGTGGGAATGAAAACAGCAGCTTCATACAGCTAAGAAGGAAGTCAAATGCAAGTCAGAAGGAGGTCAGAAGCATCTCCAGAGGACGCTAATAGCAAGCTGAAGGCACCTGAAAGCATACAGTACATTACTTACCCGTCCACACAAGGCCTAATGCTGTCTGTGTCCAGTGGGCTAATTTACCTACAGCTTCTGCTACCATGAACTGTACATTATCTTCTACTGTCTCCAGGTCATGCTCTGCAGCTGGTTGCTCCATTATCTCACCGGGCCAGAATAGGAGAAGATGTGAACATTCCCTGCTCATTCACAGTCAATAACACTCCCATCAATCAGAAATTTCTTGCCATATCCTGGTTCTTTCAAGGGAAGGAAATTCTAAGTGTTCAGAATGCTAAAGTGAGATCAAGAGATCCCCGTGTGTCATATACAGGCCGGAGAGAACATGGAACCGCCAATCTGTCTATATCAGACATAGCTGTAATGGACGGAGGGATCTATAAATGCTCCATACTGTACACCCCGAAGAAGGAGGAGAAGGAGATCAGACTTGATATACAAGGTACACAGTTGAAAGTATTTAACCTGTATGTCTACCAAAGGGGGCACCAAATGAACATACTTAGAGTCCAAAATGATAGATTCCACAAATGACAACAGGTAAAAAGGTAAGGTAGCCCTTTGGTGGACATACATATTGACTTCTCCATTAAAAACTCTGGCTTTTTGGAGCGTTCCCTGTTTTGTGGAGAGCTGCCAAACACAAGCCATGTGGTTTATTTAAAGACTATTTTTATTATCTATCAGGGATCTATATCCTGCCCCTTATCTCTACCTTTCCTAAAGTATTTACCAAACATTCGGTGATGTAGTTAGGAAACCTGTTACTTATGGGCAGGCACTATCTGATCTTTACGTATTTAGGTTATCTGCAAACATTAGACGGTCAAATTCTCAATCCAATACAATCCCCCTGAGAGGAACCAATCTAGTGAACGCTCCCGAGCACTCTACATACTCACTAGCTCTGCCTAGCAGACACATGTACACCTAAGGGTAGCGGGGAGCCTAGACGGAGGAGCTTATGAGGCTGCCAGTACTCATACCAAAATCCAGACATGTTTTCTAATCTGCTTGAGCTAGGGTTTCCACCATTTCTTCAAGCCAAACCCAAACACTGTAGCACCTCGCGGCATTTTTTTGGTAAAGTATACTATGCACATATTTTGTAGGTAATCACAAGATGCCATTGTGCCACAGGTCCCCAGATATACAATCTGTACATAAACGATGCCACCATAAGATGCCAGTGTCACTTCTCTCTCTCTGATGTCACTTCCTCTCACTAACAGAGGAGAACACCAGATAGAAGGAGGGAGTGACTGAAGGCAGCGCTGCACGGCACTCGCCGCTCACCATCCGCTGCCCGCTGTTAGGTGAGCAAGTCTGCGGCTTGAATAATGTGCCCGGGTGTGAGAAGGGCTTGCACCCGAGCACAGGATTCCAAACTTGAACTGCTGGTGATCTGACGACACTGAGAACGTATCGAGTTCTGCGACCGCCTCACTTCCGGTTTCCTTACAACTAAGAGGTTTGCCCAAGAAACTTGTTCTGCACGAGCGCCAGCCAAGGCATTGGCCTATACACATACAGCACAGCAATGAAGTAATAAAATGAACTAGGATCACACTAATCCAGCACGTTATTAATATCACGTGCCCCACTCAATATGGCCGCCGCTTGAGTGGGGCACGTTTTTATCCTTTAACATTCCATCAGATGAGGTATACATGAATATCTTTGGGTGCTGGTAATGCATGCAATCTGGTGATCACATTCCTGGCTTTGTACCTCCTGCTTACTCGAAGTTGGAACGTGCCCAGCAATGCACGGCTAATCCTCTAGTCAAAACCACATGGCAAAGGGCACTGATGTGACTGGTCACACTGACATGTTTCATCTGTACCTCAGCTTTCATCATAATGACTATTGCATGATGATAAGTTGCATTTTCCCAATCTCACTGTTAACCATTGGACCAGGGAATGGTTAGATGTCTAGGTGCTACCTCTGACATGGTTAGATACCCCTAGACTGGCCAATCTCAATGGAAGAATCAATTGTTAAAGATGGATTTTCACAGGCAGCCACTATAGGTACCCATGAAAAGGATGGGAGTGTTTGCCCAGGAAATAAACATGCACGGTGTGTTCATGTACTGTATGTTTATGTTACAATGGTTCTACTGGGATCTATGGTACAGAAGGGGTGAGCTGCAGGAGGGAAAGAGGGGATGCGCAGCTGAGGTGGGAGCCTTTCTTGCCTTTGCATCTCCCAACCATGTCCTGCACTGTGATTTTGGATACCATTAAAAAACATGTTGCAAGAAGTTGCAGCCTACCTACACAGCACTCACACATACAAGATACACTGCATATTGAAGTGTGTACAACCACCATAAACAAAATACATTTAGGCTGACATGTTGTTATGTTTCAGCAACTCCACAGATCAACATCACAGACAGAGTTGTTGTAACAAATAAAAAGAGTTCCCTACACGGTGTCATCTCTGGATTCTACCCGGTGGACATTGACATTAAATGGCTCCAGGATGGAGAGATGCTGGACAATGTTATCATGGAGATACCTCAGAGAGACCCGGATGGAACGTACAGTGTGAGGAGCTCAGTAACAATAACACCCACTGAGGAGGACAGAGAGCGGATCTTATCCTGTAGAGTCCAACATGAGTCTCTTACTGCCCCTCTCCAGGAGGACTTCCGGCTGGTGTATGGAGGTAATATTATAATGAGTCTGTATTCTGCTGTATATCTACAAGACAACAACAGATATATCCAAAAACTAAAATAAGTACAAAAGGTGGAGGAAAAGTTGAGCTGTTGTCTACAGGAATCAGAATTGTTTACTTAATTTTCCAAGGAGACAAAAAAGAGTTAACCAGATAAGTAGCTCTAGGTAAAAGGTCCACGTTTCGTAGGTTGAACCCCATGAAAAAAAGAGAGACTGTAATACAGTAGACACAGATAGAAAAGATAGATAGATAGATAGATAGATAGATAGATAGATAGATAGATAGATAGATAGATAGATAGATAGAAAATGATTAAAGCAGAGGTCCTCAATTATTTAGTAGCTTTTGAAGCAGAGGCTTAGTTCCTGTCTGTCTAAACACCTGCTGCACGATATGCTTCCAACAATCATAAGCCATGGTTGGGTATTACCCAGTAAGTAAAAAAGGTATTTTGTGAACACCCCCATTCAGTCTTGTTGTGGCTCAGATACATTTGCTGCATATGACTGCGGTTGCCCAGAAGGCATCTCTTGATCCTTCTTTGATTGTGATAACCCTATCTCTGTTTAATTTTGCGTATCCCGAGTAGTAGGGTTGCCACCTGTCCATATCACATCTGCTTTGGCAAGGAAAGGAGTGGATTGGGTAGCTTAAAGGAACCTCCAGTACAGCATAGGAAGGGCTAAATGATGAATATTTGTAAGGACAATCAAATGTTTTTACCAAATACCGCCACCCACGCACATAAAGAACTTACCAGAAATTGACTGACACTTACAAAATAGGTCTCAAAGTGTTTTTTATTATTACTCCATTGCAATAAATCTTCCTCACCTTCCATATGATTTATCCCACTGTAGCATGACCTCTCAGTTTCATCCAATCAGACCTCTGTCCAGGTACAGGGGTATTCAGGGTAGTCTCCACAAATATGCATTTAGATTTATGCAAAAAAGCATTGTGATTACATTTTTTATATACCACATGTATTGCAGAAATCCCATCCGTTCACATCACTTCTCAAGCATTTAAGTTGAATGTGGAGCAGAGTTTGGTGTGCAGTGTATCTAAGTTCTACCCAGAATCCCTCACAGTGAACTGGTTTTTAAATGACACCCTGTTGGAGAATGCCAAGACCCGGAGGATCAGCAGCTCAGCTGTGGCATCTGTCTACCAATTCATCGCAAAAGAGCAGAGCTGGGGCATGGAGCTGAGATGTGTGGTGGAACATGGAACCCTCACCACCCCACATGTGGAGAGACTGCTGGTACAAGAAACAGGTGGGTGACTGTCCTGTTCTAAGAGTAGATTTTAAAAATCTTCAGGAAGGAGAAGTGACCAATCTAGGACAAAATAGCTGAGCTGGAAAGTGAGTTGAATTGGAGAATTTTTCCAAATCAGCTATGTTGTCCTAGGTGGTTCCCTTCTCCAAACTCTTCACCCTTCTGTGAATAGCCCTGTAAGTCACAAAGAGCACTAATACGGTAGCATGACATCTTATATACTTTATCTCCAAGGATGCCATTGCCTAAGTATTTTTTATGTTTTATGTATTTTGTATCTTTGGTAAGATTGCTGTCTTATGAGTAGATCATATTAGGGAGAACCTCTATGCCTCTTTTTTGACATCATTAATAAGAGAGAGTTATAAGGAACATAAACATGTAACGGTTTTCTAAATTGTTTTCAGAATTTTTTTGCAGTGGAATCAAATGTTAAATTCCGGCACGTTTCACTCTACATTTTATAGTTATTTTTGTAGCATAGGATTGTGGTCACAGACAGACGTTTGGTGTTTTTAGTCACATTGTAAAGTAAACCCCGGTGACTCCCGTTCTTATTTGCATTTTGTGAGGAATGATTACAAAAGTTCTTTGTTTGGATAGTTTCCATATGTAATGTAAATATATACAGGAAGTCAGCTGTACTCAGGAAATGCTTAACTCTAGCGAGTGCACAAGTACATTTACTGGATGTATTCCACTAATAGATTTTTCCATCTAAGCCAACTTGTGTTTCAGAATGTTTTTGGGGGATATTTTAATACCTTAATATGTGTAGTATGTAATTGTACAAAAATGATTTAGTATCAGTTTTTACACGGTCTGCCTGGATTCTGCATGTAAGCTATCAAATTACACTGATACCTAGAGATTTAAAGTGCATTTCCACTTTAGAGCCCCTCTGTACCTTTGTTTTCTGTTTCTATTCACGCAGCATACTGAAAAATATATATATTTTAAAAAACAATCTTACCTTTTAGGTGTTTTGTTGCAGTGGGCAACATGATTGATTCCAGGTTTTTCTCAGCACCTTAACGGTGATCTGTCCTTATAGAAAAACTTAGGGTTGAAATTTAAGGATTGTTAGGGTTAGTCACAAAAGGGTGAAGAGTTTGGAGAAGGCCGGAGAAATGAACAATCTAGGACAGGGGTCAGCAACCTTTTACACACCAAGTGCCATTTTTGAAACCATGGTACAACCGAGTGCCAGTGAACAATAGCACGCTTTAGTGTTAGTTACAGGTACATTTTTTCACTCATGGCTGTACTGCTAATAGTAAGTTAAACTCACTAATTATTTTAATGTGTTTACCTCTCCAGTAGCAGCACAACTATAAGGGGAAAAAATTGAATAACTGGTGCACACACAAAACATGTTCATATTTACATTTGCTGAAAAGTAAACTGGACTTTTTAGTGTGATCCCTGTGTCTTTATTTCACGGTTCAGTTGTGCAATCTCTGGCCTGTAGGATGTTACTGTCAGCTGACCTCAGACCAGCACCAATGCATACTTTGAATGCCAGATCTCAGAGCAGCACCAATGCCCTGCAGACCTCAGAGCAGCAGCACCAATGCCCTGC